GCGATCCCGCCTACTAGTATCTGATTGGAGTCTCCTAGGTGATGTGCCTTTCCTTGCTCCACCTAAATAACTGATAGACGTATTATAGTACCCAAGAAAATGTCTCGATATAAAATAACATTATATGTGCTGCATATAATGCTTCTTATGAATTATTTCATATAAACTTCACAAGGGAAGCAAAGGTTTGCTCAAAATATTCCACTTGGTTTGCTCTTGTCATGTCCTGTGGAGGTATTTGTTCTGTTGGCTGGTTTGTGGTGTAATCCATTCCAAAATAGTCAATGAGGGCTGCCACTAAATAGGCTTTTCCAACTGACAGGGAAAAAAATCTTGAAATGCATCAACATCCTTTTTATGTTTCTTTCACAGAAGTATTTCAATGTGCCCACTTCTCTGACTGACTAAGTCTTCATTAGTGTGTCATTCACTAACCGCAAAAACAACTTCTTTGTTAAATGAGTATATGTAATGTTTTTATTAATAAATTGGTATGGAACATTTAAGTTTTAGAGAATTATTCGTTAATTTGTTAACAGGTCCATTAGTTGCAATATATTAATATTTATTATTTCAGTATGAAAGAATCTATTCATGTCCAATAATGAACTTGGTGAAAAAAATGTATGTTGCTTGAAAAGTGGACAAATTGTTTAGTGTCGACTAGGCTTTCAACGTCATCTCTCTAACAGTTTGTTTGGAAACAACAAGCAAATCTTATGTAACACATTAAAAATAAATTTTACAATATTATTTTTTCCTAACCAGGAATAAATTTTGCAATGCATGACAGAGTTAAATAATGTCTGGCTCTGTGAGTTGTAGATGGTCTGTAGGGGTGTGACAGCCAGCTCTCAAGTGTCTGGCAGAAGTTGCCCTGAGATGTGTCAATTGATCTCCACCAAAAGGGCAGCTGAAATCACTTAGAATGAAATTTCCAGGCTCATCATTTGTTTTGGTTCCTGTCTCTGCCACAGTACATTCAGTGTTTCTTCTACTTCACAAAGAATGTCCACCATATCAGCAAGCTTGTTTTCATTTTTAAAATGCATAGGCAGAGAAAATAAGGGGTGCTTTTTGCCCATTTCAAATCTGTGAGGATGGTTGATTATTGCGAGGCACGCTTTGCCTAAAAACATTAATTATTATATTTTTGTATTTTAAAGATTTCAACAATACTGTAATTAATGTTAGAACCAGGGTTTGCAATACAAAATTTTCCTGGCAATTTTTCAGTGTTTAAATGACCCAGAACTGAAATATTGTACTGGTATTCAAATGATTGTATTGCATGCAGTTGTCAATTAATTTAATGAAAAACAAAAAGTAAATGAAAAGCCTGGAAAAAAAAACGTTGTGCCTAACTGGTATATACATTGATCACAGTACCAAAGAACAAGGAAAAATTGAAGCATTGAAGCATTGCACTGACAATGAGGTAATCAATTAATGCTTAACAAATAGGATTCTTCAGCAGAAAGCTTTGCACCCAAATGACACATACCTTGATCACAGTAACATAGAACAAGGGAAAAAAATCCAAGGATTGCACCCACAATAAGGGCGCTGCAGGAACCGTAGAGTGGAATTTTCAACCAATCCAGTGGATCAGTGGATCCACGAATACTCTGTGTGGGGATTAAATTCACTCCCTGTTGTGTGGCTTAGCTTGATCGCAATGCTGGAGAGCAAGGCAAAAGAAATTATATTAAAAATTATTGCATCTACTGTGAAGTGATTTATTAATCAATGCCTTATAGCTAACTGGCATTTCTAAGGCCTAGCCTCAAATCCAAAGTTGCAAGTTTCAAACTCTAAACTTGATGCTTTGTATTTCCTTCTAGATACCACAGACTATGGAAGTAGTAAAAGTAGCATCACTCATGTTTTTGAATTGTTTTTTACTTAGGTTGAAAAGGACATATATTAGAGAGTTTGTGGAATTGAAAATCTTCTGTAATGACAACATGTGGTTGCGCANATTTAATGAAAAACAAAAAGTAAATGAAAAGCCTCTACATGTAGATCTACATGCATTCTACAGGTGCATACCATGTTCATGAATACAATTGAAGTTTTGACAATTTTTCAGAAATTACAGGAGTAGTGCACACTCTGCCAAAAAGCTCTACCATTATTAGCTATTGTTTACATGTAGAATGAAAATATGTGATTAAAGTGAAGAATTTTGTTGTGACTTGTTTAATGGATAGGATTCCTTGGCAAAAGGCTTTGCACCTAACTGCCATAAACCTTGATCACAGTACCGCAGAGCAAGGGAAAAAAGAGAAATTTAAACATTGCACTGACTATTACTTAAGGTAAATCAATCAGTGCCTAACAGGTAGGATTCTGGAAAAAAAAAACGTTGTGCCTAACTGGTATATACATTGATCACAGTACCAAAGAACAAGGAAAAATTGAAGCATTGAAACATTGCACTGACAATGAGGTAATCAATTAATGCTTAACAAATAGGATTCTTCAGCAGAAAACTTTGCACCCAAATGACACATACCTTGATCACAGTACCATAGAACAAGGGAAAATAATCCAAGGATTGCACCCACAATAAGGGTGCTGCAGGAGCCGTAGAGTGGAATTTTTAACCAATCCAGTGGATCAGTGGATCCACGAATACTCTGTGTGGGGATTAAATTCACTCCCTCGCAATGCTGGAGAGCAAGGCAAAAGAAATTATATTAAAAATTATTGGATCTACTGTGAAGTGATTAATTAATCAATGCCTTATAGCTAACTGGCATTTCTAAGGCCTAGCCTCAAATCCAAAGTTGCAAGTTTCAAACTCTAAACTTGATGCTTTCCTTCTAGATACCACAGACTATGATGGAAGTAGTAAAAGTAGCATCACTCATGTTTTTGAACTGTTTTTTACTTAGCTTGAAAAGGACATATATTAGAGAGTTTGTGGAATTGAAAATCTTCTGTAATGACAACATGTGGTTGTACAAAGATGGTGAGGTTGTCATCAAGTGAAGCAGTTCTCTGAAAAAAATATAAATAAGAGATAAGTTACCCCAGTACAAATACTTGACCAAATTAGACTTCATATAAGCTAGTAATAACATGATGAAACACTGGAAAAAAAATTGAGAGGGAGAAGCC